GATACTTTTTTTAACCATTATCGGGTGATTTGAGTCGAAATTCAAATATCGGTTAGTATGAGTAGGTTTTCTATAGACCAAGGTTTCGAAATTGTATACATTTTTCTGAATTAGTATATCGAGAAAAGGAATTTGGTGATTTTGTTCTTTTCCAATAGTGAATTTAATTGTTGGTTCTTTATTATAGGCGAAATACCCAAAACGAGGTTTGTAAAAAAATGAATCCGCCTCAACAATATAGAACTTATCTACATCATTATATGTTGTTGTCTAATGGGTTTTACTCAGGACTTGTGTTACTAGTTTTTTGTAAAATAGTTGGCGGTATGTAACTGGGTTTTATACACTTTAGGCATCAAAGGCGTGCCCGCTAGAAAAAAATATTCTAACAAACACTCATGGATTGCTCAAGCTCAAGTTGGAGCGGCTCATTATTGGGTTTAACTAATGTTACTCTGATTTCTTGCCAATGCCAGTTTTTTAACATTACTAACTAGACAATTTATTCGGTCCCGGACTTCTGATGACGCTTTTACTATACCCGACCATTCATGTTGATGGTTGCTTGCCTAAGAGTCCATTGTACAGTTTGAGCGGCTAATAAGCAAGGACTTTGAAGCCGTTTGTTGGTGCGAGTTTATTTTTATATACTTAAATGTTAGGATTTTGTTTGACATTTGTTCTGGCCTTGCAAGAACTAGTTGTTAATGTTGATACGTAAAAATATATTCACTGCACCAAATTGAACCCGTTTTTCTCTTCGAAGTCATACATCGATTTAACTTATAAAAACCATATTTAATGTGTAAAAGCAGCCAAGAACTGGCGCAGCAAACAGCAATAACAACAGGGCACACAAACCGTTGAGAGAGGTGTTTTGTCGATAATTGATTCGTGCTCGATAAGCAAAACAGTGGGGCGACCATAAACTCGGGAGAAACCCATAAAAAAGGGAATTAATGGTTATTTGTCAGGTTATCAGGAATTTTGTAGAACACGTTTCCCCATTTATGGTGCAGATGCATATCAAATTGCGATAAATCCCGTCGATTTCCTGCCAGACTAGGATGACTCACACGTTTACATTCCCCAAAGCAATCACGAAATTCATAAATAATTCATTTGTATCCAAATTCGCAATTTCTTTTATAGGCACATGGTTTGGAATAATACATGTAGAAAGACGTTTGTTAGTTATGGGCTTCGAAACGACTATAAATAGCCACATCTCGATATACTTGCTCGAAGTGACTGAATAAAACTCACAAATAATTAGAACGAACGTTTTATTCCAAGCTGAATTAAACAAATTAAAGTAAACAAAAAAAAGTAATTAAAGTATGGCAGGTTTTTCGAACTTAAAGCCAAATACACAAGGAAACAAAACAAAACGGAAACAGTTTGAGATTTGATTTAGTTTTCATCCACTTCTTGTTCTTGATCTTCGTCGAAATCCTCTTCTTCATCGTTGGTTGCATCTTGGTACTGTTGGTATTCAGAAATTAAATCATTCATGTTGGATTCAGCTTCAGTGAATTCCAT